GAATCTTTACTTATTGATATTCAAACAAAATACTTTTAACAGCTGGAGGTATCTGCTCTTTTCACTGTTTGTCCTATTTATATTAAGATTGATGTTCACACCTTAAGCACCTAAGCAAGTTATTACTTTACATTTAATTGTTTAGATATGTCCTTTGCTCAGTTATGTCTATATAAAGGAAATGCATTAAATTATCACAAAATACTCTTTATTCTTTCCCTTTTTAAAAGCTATAGCTATTAATAGATCATAGCTATATGATCAAGTCATAAAATTATTATTGAAACTCATTAAGTGTATCCCTCACCTTTTGTAATGATGGTGACACATTCTAATGTGCTGTTTTGAGTTCATAAAGGTCAGTTTATGTGATATTAAAAACCAAAGAAAAAAAGGTTACCTGCGCTCTCTCCTTAATCCCTATGTATATTTAAACAAATGGAGGTCATTTAGTTACTCCAATGGCTACTGGAGGGAATGCCCGCCTGCCAACGTCAAAGCAGACCCATCTAGATGGGTCCTACACTGACCTTTTACCTTGCTTCATTGAGCTTCAGGCAAAAATATCTCTAATGAGACAGAAAGGGGTATTTTTTATATACACCCCTATATACTTGTTAACCCGTAATAGGGAACACACGGGATGGGCGGCAGCATTGTAACCTAGCTGTGTGATACAAAAGGTGAATACAAATACACTCACATCACTCTTGGGCGGCAGCAATGACTACAGTACACATCAGCTAATACATTTGGTAAAAACCAAAGCAAAAAAGGTTACCTGCGTTCTCTCCTTAATCCCTATGTATATTTAAACAAATGGAGGTCATTTAGTTCCTCCAATGGCCACTGGAGGGAATGTGGGCATTCCAGTTTTTCCACGTTGTTCACCCCGATTGGGGCTATCAGGGGATATATAAATTATGGTTGCATGTTATATTTTTGGGGTATATCCAAGAATTGGGGGAAAATGTGTTTTACAACCTAAAGATAATTAAGTTATCTCTCATGCTGAGGGGACCATCTATTGATTGGTTGCTTCTTAATTATCTGTGGGTGTCTCCCTTGCATGGGAGAATTGCATGAAAGCCGAGTGTGTGGCATTAAAAACCAGTTCTGCTCCTGACACTGAGTGTCGTCCAGTTATTGGGAAGGGTGATGGGAGATTTGTGGATTTGCTTGCTGCTTATGCTGTTCTTCTTAGAATATCCTGCTTGTTCCTAAATAACTGTTGGAGTACCAGTGGAGGAGAGTATATGCTGAATTAGCGCTCCGCTACAATGGTGGCAGCGGTGGGATGGGTACAGGCCCACAAAGCTCCCACCTTAGAAGATCTATTACAACTGGTACTGTTGGAGCAATTTTACAATGGGCTATCCTCAGATATCCAGGAGTGGGTCCAAGATACAAACCCAACTTCTCTCACAGAAGCAGCCAGGAGGGCTGATGAATACATGGATGTATGTAGGCAACAGAAACCTGCACAAATGAGGACATTTATATGACCCCTAATGGGACCAACCACCACAACAGCTCCACCTCGGCCGTTCCCACCACCGGCTGCACCACAGCAGCGATTCTGGCAGTCAAACACCGGACAGTGCCACCAGTGGGGGCATTACAAAAGACTGTCCCCAACTCCTAGAATGTACAACATGGATCCGACTGGGTCCACCACCACCACAAGCAGCTGCACATTACTACCAAATGGAAATCCCAGCACCATATGTCACTGCAGTACCAGCACCAGCATCAACGATCGAACAGTGGGAAGTACTGCACGAAGCACTCCAGGCAGATGCCGATAACCACCAGCACCAAAAGCAGAATGTCTATCTGGAGGGAAAGGAGGTACAAGGGCTCCGGGACCTAGTAAAGAGCCACCTGGTATCCAGTAACGCCAGGACCAACAACACTGTGGCCGTAAGGGTAGCCTGGGGAGCAGTATACCGGCTATCCACAGCAAGGGTACATTTGAATTGGGGAGCGGGGTCTGGAATGGTGGAGGTGGGGTTAATGCCGCAGTTACCAGCAGAGGTTTTGTTGGGGAATGAGCCCCAGACCACAGCAGTAGAAGCATACCCGGTTGTTACCCAGCAACAGGCCCGACCCCAGGACCACAACTCACACCCAGAGGTTCAGGTAATGAACATTACCCCATCCCTAGAGTGTGTCCCATGGGCTGCCCCTAGCAAGTTTGAGGAAGAGGTGATCACAGACCTCACGCTACAAGTGTATAGAGACAAGGTCACCTCTGATCAACCCGGGGTGGAGGGGGAGAGATTTGTGTGGGACAAGAAGTTATTGTATAGGGAATCAGAAAAACTAGTAGCCGGGTCTGACCCAATTACCACTAGGCAGCAAGTGGTACTTCAGCGGTACCGACTAGAGTTAGTCTGGATAGCACATGATATTCTGCTATCCGGACATTTAAGAGTAAGTTGCACCCGGTACCGACTGACCCAGAATTTCTTTTGGCCAGGGATCAGTCAGGAAGTCACGAGATTTTGCCAGACTTGTGATACGTGCCAGAGAGTAGGTACGACGGGGGATCGCCGGAAAGCTAAATTACACCCCTTAGCCATAATCCAGACTCTGTCAGACGACCTGCATGCAGCGATCCACTTGGAGGTGATGGCCCTGAGGTCCGAAATCACAGCACATGGCAGCAGACTCCTCACTCTGGAGGAGACAGTGCAAGATAATTCTGAGAGAACAGGTACCACCACCACAGCAGTCACATGACAGGGAACTGCTCTTAACCCTGAGGTGGCATAGAGAGGACCTGGACAACAGGGGCCGCCACTCTAACATCCGTGTGTGCAGACTACCTGAGCCACCCACTTAAGAGGATGTGGAAGCCACACTGAAGGCCCTCTTCCGAGACATGCTGGGAGCTGACATGCCAGACAACCTGACGTTTGACCAGGCACACAGGGCAAATAGGCCTTGACTAGCAGACAATACACGATGAGACATCATATGCTGCCTGCACCACTATAAGCACAAAGAACAAATAATGCTAAAAGCACACACTAGACCGCTATGGAGATTCTGCGGAGCTGAAGTGGCCCTATTTAAGGACCTGTCACCACTCACACTCGAAGCCTGCAGAGCCCTGCGCCCCATCACGTCATTTCTTCGAGAGAGAAACACCCCTTACAAGTGGGGATTCCCTTTCACCCTACTTGCCAGGCACCAGAATGAATGGGTGCCTCTGCACTGGCCGGAGGAAAGCCCGGGATTCTTGCACCACATAGGCCTACCTCCCACTGAAATACCGGACTAGATCCTCGGACCGCTGGAGCAAAGGCCAAGAACCCAAACACTGCAACCACAATGCCGTCGCATGGGAGAATCACAGAGGCGACCCAGAATAACTGCAGAGAAGAATCCCCCACCAGATACGAACATGACCCCCCCCCCAGAGAGACGGCGGTTAATACAAGGTCTGGGCACCATACTGACACTAGACGATAAGATAAGTGCCACATTGATCACATCACACACACTGAGCGAGGGGCTAACTGGTACTGGATAATGAATATAGTATGGAACTAATGGACATATGCTGCATTTGGGGTGGAGGGACTATCAGGGGTCGAGGGGACATTAGACACGGACACTGCTCACACCCGAGCAACTGGGTACAACATAATGTTGGGGAAACATGTTATTAATGCTTTAATGTTTTAATGTCGTAATGTTTCACTATATTGTTATGGTACATATTAGGCGAAGCTGCAGGGGCACCACACAGAAACACTAATGGTCCCCAGGATACCCAAGTGACACATGAGGGGCTCCTTGCAGGGTCGCCCTGCACTGTCAATTCGAAGCAGCCATACGGTGTGAGGCACACCTCCAGAGCCTAACCTCAGAGACCCCCACAGGTCTAACAGTTATGGTGGAGAAGGGGAAGGGAAATCGGGTGGGTAGGTCATGGTTACCGTCTATGGTGTAGAAGCGGGCAGGAGATGTAGATGCCAAGGCAGATATGGGGCTGGGGGATCAACAGGGGAAGGAACTGATGCCATGAGAGGGGCAGAAAAAGTACTACTGCAGACAATGAATAGGTGACCCGGCAGGGAGATAGGAGACACAGTTAGAATAGAATTCCAAGGACAACTTGGGACACCGAACCAACCAACCGACCACAGAAAGCCTCTACACCCCACTAGCCTCCCCAGCCCACCACCCCATGCCCCTGGTGGTACTGCAATGCAGAGACGCAACCCTGGACTAGCGAATGAAGATGACAAAAGGGACGGGAGATGACCACCACACCACTGACGGGCTCACGCACCGAGACACAGCTGACGGTGGAGAGCACACGCTTAAGGGGACAAACACAGCGAGCAATGACAAGGCCACCCCTGAGATGCACCAAGACACTCAGTAGCCATAGCTGAGACCATGCCCCGAACCGCTGACAAGGGACACAGCCACATTAAAACCTCATAACTACCCATGCCAAAACCTCAGGACCAACACATAGAGACTTAGTGTACCACACCTAGCTAACTATCCGTGAGACAGATGGCTCACGGAGTCTGACACACCCAAACTTTCTTAACCATACTGCCACAACTTCGGTGGCGGACATAACCGACCGTGAGGCCACGACCCTGACCTAATCCTGTGTAGACACAGACTACCGGGGGAACACTGCCTTGCTGCCCTAGTTTACACTAAGAGGTGGTTTGGCTTTGCCATGCAACCCGGTTACACAGGTACCCTTTATCTAAAGGGAACATCACTCCGGAGAACCCCGGAAACAAAACTAGACAGCAGATACTAATCCCACTACCGGCATTATCTGCCTGTGACTCATATAGGAGGCCCTCAAGACATTGAAGACAGGGGAAAAGCGGGCGCAGTTCGCAGACACGAGAGCTCTGGGGTAACCCACCCTAAACTCCCTAGCACCTCTTACCACCCTCCTCCCCCCCCATCCCCCAACCACGCACGCACAGAACACCAGACACCAAACAAACAAGATGGCGTACGCACCTGAATCCTTCCATATCATTGCACAAAACTGCAGAGGCCTGAACACGCCCAAAAAACGAGCGCACCTCCTTCAAGACCTTAAACGACGCCGAGTTTTAATAGCCCTCTTACAAGAAACACACCTAAGAGACACAGACACACATAGACTGCAGAAAAAACACTACAAAACCACATTCTATAGTAACCACCCAACCGCACGAAAAGCTGGAGTCTCGATTCTCCTAAATACCGACCTACATTTCACGCGCTCCAAAACTCTCACTGACACAGACGGCAGATACCTATTCGTGAAGGGAACGATTTCCCAGACAACCTACACGTTTGCCTCGGTATATGCCCCGAACGCAAACCAGGTCAAGTTCCTCTGCAAAACGCTCTTGAAACTAGCCATCTTCGCAGAGGGCATTTTGATACTAGACGGAGACTTCAACCTGCCTCTAGACCCAATAGCAGACACCTCCAACGGACATAGCACAATAGCACATGCGGCTATCAGAAGAATCCACAAGACTCTACAAGACATGCGACTGGTTGATACATGGCAAACACTACACCTGGATGGTTGAGACTATACCTACTACTCGACTCTCCACAGACGCTACTCACGCATAGACTACATTTTTATCCAACAAAGGGCCTCACCCACCTGCAGAAGGCTGAAATCAGGCCGACTCCCTGGGCTGACCACAGTGAAACCTCCATACACCTTGCCTCCCCTCTCTTCAAACCCATCCAAACTTCGTGGATGATGAATCGCTCCTCCTGGATGCAGTGGTCCAGTCACAACTAACTGAACACTTGAATCAATACTTTGAAGAGAACACCATGGATGACGTGTCAAATATAACGCTCTGGGAGGCACACAAGAGTGTACTCGGGGGACACTTTATAAGAATCGCATTGTGCAAAAAACGAGACGGCCTATGAGCAATTGCAGACCTCATGGCCCAAATAATGAAACTTGAAACCCTTCATAAGCACAGTCAACTAGATGCCCACTACCGGGAACTCTTGACAGCACGCAGACAGCTCGCAGAACTCATAGACCGAAAACACCACAGAGCACTATAACGTTCTAAAGCCTTTTATTACATACATGATAATAAGGGTGGCAGACTCCTAGCTCGAATGCTAAGAGCTCATGTGGATTGAAGCACTGTACCGCAACCCGAGCGCGCAAATACGTGTCAATGGGGCACTTACAACCAGCTTCCCGCTGGAACCGTTTCTAGATAGGGTCCGACAAACACCCAACATCCAAGGATTACGATACAAAGATCAAGACCACAAGGTAGCAGCGTACGCTGACGACCTGCTTTTCTACGTATACAACCCAATGCAAACACTACCCGATTTGCTGGAGGAATTCGACGTGTACGGCCAAGGCTCGGGGCTCAAGCCCTGCAAGTCTTGACCCCGGCACCCGAGTGGGACCAAGTTAAACGAAACTTCCCTTTCAGATGCTGTGAAGACCAATGGAAATACCTAGGTATCTGGATCCCACGTAACCCGACAGAAACATACACAGAGAAAGCATGAACAAAACCCTTCACTCGCTCCTTGAACGAATCCAAGAAGACCTGAAATCGTGGAACCATAACTACATCTCCTGGCATGGTCGAATAGCAGTGGTTAAGATGAATATCCTACCAAGACTCCTCTACTACTTCAACACCATACCCTGGCATATACCAACAGACTTCTTTGTGACGATGAAATCAGCAATCAGCACCTACATTTGGAAGGGAAGAAGGTACGACTCAGCCATGACGAAATATGCCTACTCAAATCATGGGGTGGACTGGCACTGCCCGATCTCCGCAAATACTACCACGCAGCCGTGCTGCAGCGGATAAGAGACTGGCACAGCCCCGAACCACAAACTATGGGCTGCACTAGACAGAGAAAGCATGAACAAAACCCTTCACTCGCAAGTGTGGCATCAAAACCCGAGAGAACCACCAAACGTCAGTAGAACCTCACCCATAGCACAAACGCTAAAAACATGGGCTATAGTGAGAAATGAAATCTACATATGCCCGCAGCCGAGCCCACTAATCCCGCTAACGCATAACATAGCCCTAGGAGGCGGCCTACCGAGAAGTGCATGGCCTGTAGCAGATGGAGACGTATATCTGCCCCTAAAAGAGGTGTTAAACAATACAGGACTAAAGAGCCTACATGCATGGACCGGGACCAAAACCCCCATGTTGATACACAGATTTCGCTACGCACAGCTACGACATTTCTACTATAATCTCCCGAACAGACAAGCAATACATAGAGATACCACGTGGTTCGAAAACCTATGCATCAACGCACCTGAAGCAGATGGGAGGGTATCCGTGCTATACCAATGAATCGGCGACCAGTTCAGGAATGTAGCCTTTAAGAGACAATGGGAGGACCTCACAGACAGAACATACACGGACGCACAATGGGAACAGATACTCATACTCCAACATAAGAGCTCGAACAGTACAAAATACCAGGAAGCCAATTTCAAGCTGATCTCCCACTGGTACCGCACACCCGCGCTCCTACACAGGATATTCCCGGGGACCCCTGACACCTGCTGGAGATGTGAGGCCCAGGTAGGAACAGTACGACACATCTGGTGGGACTGCACTAGAATAAGACTAAACTGGGAAGAAATTCGTCAGGAATTGACAGAGATCCTGGGCAAAATACCGGAACTTAGAATTGAAAACACACTGCTCCACTTCACAGACCAATCTATCGCACTATTCAAGAAATCCCTTGTTAGGCACCTACTGAACGTCACGAAATCCCTGATTCCAATGATGTGGAAAAGCACCCAACCGCCCACGATTGCACAATGGCTACAGAAAGTCGAGGAGATTCACTCAGCAGAAGCAAAGTACGCAGACTTATTGGGACGAAGCACAAAGCACACAGAACTCTGGGGGTCATAGTACATGTACCTAACACACCCACAGGCACAGGGAGGAAGGAGACTAAACACATGAGACAACAGGACACACACGAGCAGCCCATAACACGAGCAAGACACCCTTTCCCGTCCCCCGTCCCCCACCCCCACCCTCAACCTACCTCAGAGCTCTTGAAATCCATCCAATCACAGTGCTCTGTGTCATTTTACACAGCGTGGGAAAATTACAAAGAACTTTCCCACGCTGTGTAAAATGACAAAGAGCACTCTGATTGGCTTAAACCCACCACTCAGAGTGTTCTTAGCCTAATTGCAGGGCGTGGCAAGGCTTTATAAGCCTTCCCCCGCCCTGCAGAGCTCAGTCTGCGCGCAGCCCTCCATGGGTGAAGATGGATTATTTTTTTGCGCTCTGGTTTTTTTCTTTTTCGGCTGTTTTTTTTTTTTGCGCTTGGGATTTTTATTTTATTTTCAATTCCACGGTTATGATGGTTTTTTATTTGGCCTTTTTTGGGGCTGAAAAAAGAAGATTTGAGAAAAAAGAAGACGTCGAATGGTAAGTTTACTTTTATTTTACAGGTTAGTTATTTTATTCCTCCCTCACTATTTTTTAGGGTGAGGGGGGTAGGTAGGGACTTTTTATTTGGGGGGGTGGTGACTAGGGGCTTGGGGACCCCTAGTCACCTTGGGGGGGAGGGATTTGCTTAGGGCCCCCACCCGCAGCCCAGGGGTGGGGGCCGGGGGGGAGGACAGTAGGTCCCCCCCTCATTATCTTTGTGGCCCCCACCCGCCGCCCAGGGGTGGGGGCCGGGGGGGAGGACAGTAGGTCCCCCCCTCATTATCTTTGTGGCCCCCACCCGCCACCCAGGGGTGGGGGCCGGGGGGGGAGGACAGTAGGTCCCCCCCCTCATTATCTTTATGGCCCCCACCCGCCGCCCAGGGGTGGGGGCCAGGGGGGGCAGTAGGTCCCCCCCTCATTATCAATATGGCCTCCACCTGCCGCGCAGGGGTGGGGGCCAGGGGGGGCAGTAGGTCCCCCCTCATTATCAATATGGCCCCCACCCGCCGCGCAGGGGTTTGGGCCGGGGGGGCATTAGGTACCCCCCTCATTATCAATATGGCCCCCACCTGCCGCACAGGGGTGGGGGTGGGGGGGACAATAGGTCCCCCCCTTATTTTTCATTTTAGGGCCCCCACCCACCGCTCAGGGGTGGGGGCCAGGGGGGGACAATAGGTCCCCCCCTTATTGTTATTTTTAGGGCCCCCACCCACCGCTCAGGGGTGGGGGCCAGGGGGGGACAATAGGTCCCCCCCTTATTGTTATTTTTAGGGCCCCCACCCACCGCTCAGGGGTGGGGGCCGGGGGGAGGACCATAGGTCCCCCCCCTATTAGTATTTAGGGCCCCCACGGGCCACAGGCTGCTCACTGTTTAATAGACATGCCCCTACTCGCGGTATTGCGAGTAGGGGCACAATTTACTAATACTAAGTAATTTTTACTTAGTATTAGTAAATTAATAGGGGGCGGACCGAACATCGCATATGTTCGCCATCGGTGGCGAACGCGAACACGCTATGTTCGCCAGGAACTATTCGCTGGCGAACCGTTCGGGACATCACTAATATTTAATTCACTTACTTTCCTCCTTTATAAGGAGCAGAACATGATAGAAAGGGACCATGTAAAGATATTATACATATATTATTATTTTAATAAAATATATATACCGTATATATATTGTGCATGTTATAGTCTTCTTCTGCTATATATTTTTAATTTACTCTTCTAACCTTATTTGAGTCTCCTTCCTATTAAATACATTTTCTTAAGTATAATCTATCAATACATTGCTAATTGATTTGTCTCATTCCACTTTTTAAATGGTAGTGGATAATAGGGTGTAGGGAGGCTGCAAGAAAGAACATTATGCCATAGATAGGATGACTATGTAGGCCTCACTCTTCAATGTACTGAAATCTCATAGCTGAGCCACGTTGCTGCAACGAGAAGCATGTATGCTTCTATATAACAGTAAGAGTGTACAACTGGAAAAGGTAGAAGTGGCTTAATAAGCACATTTATTTGATTTTTTTTTATATTTTATAATTATACTAAATATATTTCATAAATGTGCTTTACTGTTTGTTTTATCATACTGTCCAAATTGTATTAAACTTAGGAGTTATCACAGTAGCATTTACCAAACATTCAATACAAGATATATGTTTATTATGTAAAATAGAATGTAACTCTTGCACTTTGCGTCAATAGCAATGGTTTTGTAATTTTAAAGGAGATACTATCACTCAGAAAGGGGACAGAAAAGGAATAGTTTGCAGCACACCACGTGTATGAGGAAATATTATGATAACAGTATAAAATAGCTAAACTTCAGTAATCAGTCCAATCCACAATACACAGAAAAAAGCTCTTAATTTTGTTAGTCCTACTGGGGACTTTTGCATGGAAAGTACATTCTCAACAGCCAAGGGGGCACACATTTATCTGACAGGGTTAAATATATAAATATAGCATTGGTTTCGGAGCTATCTAAAGGAACAATGTAATCCCCAAAACAATATTAGCTTTAAAAATCAATTTTGGTGTATAGATCATGCCTCTGCAATATCACTGCTCAATTCTCTGCCATACATCTTTTTTTAGGATATGTGTAGGAAATGTGAGTCACAGTCAGGGATGGTGTGGCTAGGGCTTCATTAACACAGTAATTTAACTCCTAAATGGCAAAGAATCATGCAGTGATCTAGACAGCAAGAGATCTATACACTGATCTATAAACGATTGCTATTTCATGCTTTAATGACTGATGGATACATTTTATTATACTGTTGTGGCATGGTTTAAATATGAATATAATAATGAATTAATATACAATTATTAAATAATAAGTTACAACATTCATATTTTTATAGTTCTTGGCATTATGGTCGAAGATGTGGACAGAAAATACACAAAACCCAGGATAGCTGAAATGTTTACCACTACTAAGATTACCACCAAAGCTTGGGATACTGTATTGAAGGAAGCTGGCCCTTCCTCTGGGTGGTCGCAAGTAATGTTAAAACTAGATTTTCCTGATTTAAATTTGGATAACTGGCACACTAGATCAATTCAAAATTTAAATTACTTTTTCTTAGGTAATTCTTTAATGTATTTTATGAAACTTCAAGATAAATTTGGCCTTGATGGTAATATGCAATTAGAACACAAATTAATTATTAATAAAATAAAAGATACATTTTCCAATCAAAATTTATATCAAAAGTATACAGAAAATGCATTATCTGATCTGAAAAAAATATTTACATAACCCTAATAAACGCGGTACTTTATCTCAACATTACTCTTATCTAACGCCCACACCTGGATTAAAAGATGATTACATGCCTGAATGGGAAAAAAGATATAGGAGCTTGTTGCAACCTGGAGCATTGGCTTAAATCTGTACCAGCTCTTAAAGGAGTTACACAGTGCTCCAATCATTGGGAAAACCATTTCAAAATAATTTATAGATGATATTTACCCCCTTTAGGTTGAATATATCAAACTCCATATATTCAGATAAATGTTGGAGTAACTATGGAATGATTGGCTCGCTTTCACATGTTCTTTGGTATTGTCCTAAAGTCATATAATTTTGGCAGGAAATGCATAAATTAATCCAAAAAATAAATTCACACAATTTTTAAAATCTAAAAATAAATTCTCCTGTACTCACTTCAGAACTGGCTTTATTCAAATTCTTGACCTGATACTACTGAAAAAATTTATCAAATTATCCATAGGTCATCCCCAGATACTGGAGGTCACCAACAATCCCTACTATTAAACACTTAATGACCAGACCGTTTTTCAATTTTCTTACCGTTAAGGACCAGGGCTGTTTTTACATTTCTGTGGTGTTTGTTTAGCTGTATTTTTCCTCTTACTCATTTACTATACCCACACATATTATATATTTTTTCTCGACATTAAATGGTCTTTCTTTTCAGATATTTATTATTGAAATGTTTTATATTTTATACAATATATGCATTACAACATCTTTAAGACAAAAAAATATCTCAAACCATATCAGATAACATATATATATATATATATATATATAAAAATAATTAATGTCATTCTTAGTGTATTTTAATATTTATATATATATATATATGTATATAATTTTAATTATATATATATATATATATATATATTAATATTAAAATACATTTAAAATAGTGGATGTATGTGCAGGTGCATATAAAATTTACTTTATTAAACTTTTTAACAACTTTTATTAACTTTTAAAACTTTTTTGCAGGCATGAGGGGGACAGCGTGAGAGCTCAGGCACTCCCCCTGCAGGCACTGCACAATACGGCTATTCCAGCCATGTAATTGCAAGGACCCCATGATCACATGGCCCAGGGGGTGGAGGGTGCAGATCAGCAGCAGGGGGACTGCCTGGGATGCTAAGCAAGTCCCTACATTGCGATCGCCGGCGTGGGATCGCCAACGATCAGGTAAGTGCATATTTGCAATCGGATGTACCAGGTACATCCGCGGTCATAAACAATCGTTTTTTGTTGGATGTAGGTCCGAGGTCAGGAAGGGATTAAAGAAGTTTTTAATTATATACTAGAAAACAAAGGGTATGAGCTGTCTCTCAGACAACTTTCTTTGCAGTTAGATAACCTTAGACACTACTAGGACAAAAGGGAAACAAAGATTAAAAGAGAATATAGGTTTTTGATTGCTTGTATTTGTAATTTGTAAAATTGTATTACAACAAAAAATGTTATTCTATTATGCGATTATCTGAGGTATTGTTGTGTCATGTTGTGTATACTAGAATTGGTTATAGTCATTAGAATTTAAATTGAAAAAAAACTATTGTGGATGGATGCACTTTCCTTCCCCTTTTTTCCTTTTTTTTTCTTCTTTCTTTGCTCCCTCTCCCAATTTTTTATTTTGTGCTTTACTTATTAACATTGCAATTTAATTGCATAGCTCATTCATACCAATATGTTTTCACAATAGGAATTGACTATAAAGTGCCTGTCTAATACTTTCATAATTGAGTCACAAAAAAACTGAATCCATTGATATTTACTCTTTTTATGTCTAACATATACAGTATTTTCTTTTTCATTGTAAACTTTATTGTTATTGTAAAAATATCTCTTTAATAAAATATATTTGAAAAGAAAATACACAAAACATTGTAATATTAAATGTAAATTTACGATAGTAATTTAAAGTAAGTAGCAGGCTATAACAAATGATAGCAGTAACAATGAATTACTGTACAATTCAATACTACAACATATTGCTTACAAATGTCCCCAGCCCTTGGTTGGGGCTAACAAGTCAGAGCTGATAGTCAACATAATGGTCACATAGTCAAGAGAGAGGGCCTTAATATCTATTCCCTCTGATTTTTATTCCCAGTGAAATGTTTTGTGGGAAGTAACTTCCCTAGAGTAGGCTGGCCTTTGATGTCACAGCCAAAAGCACATGAGATAAGTAAACCATAATTATTCCTATATGAGGCCACTCGTGATCCCTCTTACTGTCCCTCGTACACAGCAAAATGAAACTGTAAGTAGTTTTATGGAATTTCCCCTTACAAATGTATTTTTCATTCTTCTTATGTCACTCCACATGATCTTACACCTTGTGATGCCATGTCATGTGATGTCATGCATATAATTAATTATGCAAATTAACAATGCCAGTATATTTTTCCAAAAATGTTGGCAAACCTAGATAGTAGAAAAATTATGTTAAGGAAGATAGCGGGGTGATGGCATCATACAAATAAATGTTAGAATAGCAAAGAAATGATGGGTGATTGGAAATTTTAGCCCT